GGTGGGAAGCAACCGTTCGTAGAGGTGATTGCTTTATGCATATGACCGTTAGAGCAGGTTCGACTGTACTAACAGTCGAAGTACACAATTGTATACAATAATATAAATCTAACAAAAACTCAAAGATCTCTTCCCAATAAATAGCAGGACTTACATTTTTTCAGAATAACACCTGAATGCCAGCTGGAACATATGCATGTTTGTTTGGTTCACCATCCAACTTTTAACAATGACCTGTTGTAGACTGTGTTCAGCTTCACAAGGTATACCTACAGCAAATGTGTCAGATTTAAGGTCAGAGTTCAAGTAAAAATGATGATGATGACGATGATAATAATAAAAATAATTAATATCATTTACATAGCGCTCTATCCCTTACAAGTATAAGCTCTGAGAGCTGTACATCGATACCATTATTACTGAGAGTAATACTTCACTCACACAAGAAAAAAGAATTTACATATAATTTTTTTTAAAAACAGTTCAACCACATCAGGAAGAACTTTCTCTGTCACAGTAATTAGGTGAAAAAAAGCTTAAAACAGAGTACACAACAAAAGCATTGTAAGCAAAGATTCTGTGGAGCAAGAACATAACCAAACACTAATACATCATTATTTTGATCAGCACAGAGCCCTATTATCATATCCCACAAACCATAGTTACAACCATCTTAGGAAGACTCAAAATCTCAGAAGTATCTATTATAAAATAACAAGCCTTCAGCTCTTCAGTATAACACGAAGAGCAAAACGAGAAGTGTTGCTGATTTTTTTAAAAAGTAAAACTCCCAGACACTCAATCTGGGACAGAAACATCTTCTGAAAACAAGTTTGCATGACTAGACAACAGGAAAATTTTGTTACATAAACAAACACTATGACCATCACAATGTCTCTCAATTCATTTGCTAAGATAATGGCTACATCTTGAAAGAATTTGTGTGGTGACGCAATAAAATTAAGTGCTTGTTGAAATAATCAATTCAAATTTGGGAAATTTGGGAAATTTTTTTTGAAATTTTTTTTGACTCAACACCATTTATGTCCATTTAAAAACATGTTTAGTGTCGATTTTACTTGTTAACATGGATAAAAGGTACAAAAAATATAAATTTGAAGTTTCCCAGGACTCTCCAGCTTTGGAAGGCACCAAACTTTGGGAGCCATTTTCTCTCATTTTACTTCTGTCACCAGACAACCCCCACCTCCTTCAATCACAAATGTCTCGACTTCTATTCAAGATAGATGGATTTTTCTTTCATCAGAAACAAGACAAATGAACAAACTGTAAGACTACAAAATTCTATTTGCCCAAAAACTGATGAGCGCCTGATTCCACTATAGTATAATGATACATTTTAATCCATAGTCAAATTTCTACTTGCGAGGGAATTGGTAAGCTACATCGTCTGTGCTGGCAAGAGAGACAAAGCTCCTGAATGGAATATCATCTACATGGATGTTCTGACTCTCCAGCAGTTTTCCAATGCTTGCTACTATATGCAAAAGGAAATAGATGTATCTGTAGAATTCAAGAAAGACAGGAAAATTATGTAAACAAAAGTCTCCCTCAAAGAAATAACTAGAAATATATCTTTCATATAGTTTATCACTTTAACTAAAGATGAGTGAAAACTCTGTCCAATTTGAGACGGCTTTTTCAGCCCCACTTAAGGACTCCTCAGGAAAAGCCTGCATACTGAAAGAGCCTGTCATTTAAAACAGATAAGAATCTACAAGCTCGTTGAAAGTCTCTTTGACAAAAAATTCTCACTAACATCAATCAGCTATAACACAAAAAATACCACAGTAAAACACATCTCACCTATTCTGCAAAGGAAGTATCTTTTCTAAGCTTGGCAAAACAGAGGTAAAGCCCCCTCCTGCTTCCTCATGCACCCACAAAGCAATCTACTGGCCAGAAAACATTTGCATCACCATTGAAAAAACAATCAGGGATGTGCCACAAAGAGCAACTATTGAACAGGTACTCAAAAATGTTCTCAAATCACCAAATTCAAACCGATAGACCAACCACAAAATTCAAATGCAAAGATATACCTAAAATGACCTCATACCTTGGTGGAAGTTCTCCTTCGGAAAAAAATCCATGCCAAGCCACATTTCTCAAGTTCAAAGATATGGGAGGCCCCATCAGCACTTGCAGTATCTGAATCTGAGGAACATTCATTGAACACCTCATTATCTATTTCTCCCATTTGGCAGAAAACAATACTTCGAGTAAAAAACATACAACAAGAAACATTTAAGAAAACAAAAGTTGTTTCTTTATCTCCCATGTAAAGTACTGCATGTTGTATTCATGGGTGTCAGACTAAGGGGAAAAAAGGCCACAATATAAATTCTGAAGGATTCTGCAGCTGTTGTAATAACATTGCATAAGACATAATATTCAATTTATTCCTCACTCTACAGTTGAAACTAAATACAGCACCTGAAGGTATAAAATCTGGGAGAGACTAGCATCCCATCCAAAGGCTTACTGATCGTTATCCGTTTCACTTTGTATAAGTGAAACAAGGAAAAGCTCTTGCTTTATAATATACTTGTAGCATTCACACATCTCCATCTGAATATGACTAGCTGAAAAGTACTTATTACCTGTTAGATACTGATTACAATTGATCCCCAGCCACTCATAATATGCAGTGAAGCACGGATAACCATGGAGAACGGACCAATGTATTTGACACATCCATAATTTGGGTAAACTGTATAACAAATATTTAAAGAGACATCAGTCCTGGAATGGCAAATTGTACAAGCTATATCAGTTTTTTAATTTCCTGTGTTCACATAGTCTGTGTCGGTCTGTATCACTTTATTTTCCACTTTTCAAACAAATAAGAGTAGATCATATTCCTAATGAGCATGTCATGATGGGCTAGAATGCACTGTAAAGTTATAATTACATAATGTTATTCCAAAATCAACACTAACTATGACTCACTGTGGAAGATCCCAGGACAGATCCCAACTCTGAGCTTGCCAGGAGGTCTTTGAGTAAGGCTGGGCACTGGGAGCCTTTCAAAAGATATACCTACAAAAACATGGAAGAACAGTAATGGTGCAATAATCGTATGGTGTTTCTTAGGTGAAAGAATGGCTCCTGCAAGAGAGAATGAAGGGAGGACTTAGCAAGAGGGGAAATATAATAAAATCATCAGAAAGTTTAGTTTATTCCGAGTGGAAGTTTAGTCTTGAAAGGGGGGAATGATATATCTAAAAGAAATATCAAAAGTACTATTGTACAGAAATTGTTTCTATACTGCATAACACTGAGAATAGATGTAAAGAAAGAAAGGTGTTAAGCAGAACATGTACAGTAATTTATATGTGTATTGAAACCACTGTACTCAGTCAAAGCTGTGTAAGGCAACTTGGAACCTCACAAAAAGTTCTTTGTGTCTCAAGATACTGCTTCCCATAAATGTACCCTAAAGGCTATAGAAACTATAGAAACTGCAGTTTCTTAATTATAACATAAACATTATCAAAAAGCAGCAATGCAAAAAGGAGACCCGTTTTCTTATCATTACACAAACTAACAAGTATACTGTAAGAAGAATTTATTTTTTCACTTTAAGCTAATAACTTGGGGACCAAATCATTTAGACTACATTATATTACTACATGCATGCAGTTATAAGGACATGTATGTAAATTATGCATTTAACAAAACTTATCGTACATTTCCTAAAGCCCTTTCTATGGCACTTGACAGCAGCAACAGACATAGAATATTCTCCTCTTCATGGCTGAAGCTGAGCATGTTGAAGCAATCCATGAAAACCTGGAAAACATATACATGTGAGACAGCGTGGTGAAATCAAGTGCTCGTCAAAATAATGAAAAGGAAGAAACGGGCATTTCTCTGCAGATTTGGGAATTTTTATGGAATTTTTGCTCAACACTTTCTATGTCCTTTAAAAACTAATTTCTATATGGATTTTTATGGAAAAACATTGAATAAAGGCAGAAAAAATGTATATTTTCAGTCACCACAAACTCTCAAGCTAAAGAAATAACTCAAATTTGGCGGCCATTTTCTTGCAAATTTTACCTCTGATACCAGGTGACCCCCACCCCCTTCAATTGCCAACATCTCGACTTGTATCTAAGATAAAAGCATATGTTTTTCATTGAAAGCAAGACAAGTGAACAAGCTCTAAGATGATACCAATAATTCCACATGCCCAAAAACTGACAAATGCCCAATTCCACCATGTCCCGGCACATATTCATCTATAATAAGCAAGAAAAACATCTGAGAGTATAAAGGTAAGAATAATAATGTTTGTTAATTAATATATTGCCCAAAAGTGTTTGCTACATGATTCCTAATCTAATGTGGGGGGGTTTTTGGCTGATAAAAATGCCGTGGGCTAATAATAAACTGTTCCAGGCTCCTTTGATTTGGCTTTCTATTACTTTGAACATAAAATTATATATTATACAGTGAAGACTGAATTTTCTTATTCATGACAGTAAAAATACAAAACAATAATCAAATCCATCTTTCAGTTAAACATTTTGAGAGCGGCTAATTCAACTAATTAGTGTTGATATATATCACTGCATGTGGTTCTATAACAATAACAACATAGAAAGCTAGATTTAAGTAATTTTGATAAGATTAACAAATGAGTATGAAACAATACTGTCATTGCTTACGTTTTCATTTCCTGTCCACAAAAAAAATTGATTATACTTTCTTTTGAACACATCCACGGACATCTTTTTTAGAATATCTTGTGATTTCTTGATCACAGGTGCAAGAGCCTGAACTGAGTTTTCAAAGTATTGAACGGTGTTGTCTGAATCTGTGGAATGAATAAAATAAACAAATAGCACTTACAAAGAGAAACAAAAAAACAATGAAAGAAAGATATTTAAGACGGATATTATTCAGTCCATATCATTCACGTAACTCATCTGAATAGATTCTCAAATAAATCAATGCTCATGAAAAAGGAAATTGACTTTTTGGTATTTTTGTACAAATGGCCCTTTCGGCACTTTATTTGTTGGCTTATACTGAACTGTAAGGAACAGTTACTGTAAGTATTTATCTTGTAACACATGTCGATTATTAAGTACACGATTCATAAGCAGTAAACAGGATTGCATCAAACTTTTGAACAAATGCCCTACTACTTAAACCCCCAGTACTTCTCATGCCTAGATCAGATGCCAGATAAAGCCAGGTGTTTTTTATTTCTATTCTATTTTTTTCCCCTTCCATTAGGCCTATATATAATACATAATGATAATAATATAAGAACCAATTGCATGGAGGACCCAATTGCGTTTCAACTTTTGCTTGCACCAACAGGTTTCGCACCAAATCTATTACCGCATTCCTCTTGAAAGGGCTTAGCAAGGACGTCACGCCAATTATGTGTCACATTTCTCCTTTTTGCACACTATAGTTAGTAAGTAAACTATTACCGAGAACATAAATGTATGGAAACAGAATGAAACCCAAATGGATTAGATCTCTTGGGGGACCAGTTTCCTATTTATGGCATGGCTTACTTTATTTCAAATTCCCTCCCTGATTCAAAACACTTTAATAACTAACTATACAAAATTGAAAACTTTGAATTGGAAAGAAATTTTTTTTAAATTTGCAGTAAAAGACTCCCTGCAATTCGACAACGTCAAAACACCACCATACAAAGTAAAAAGCTTCAGTGAACAAAGTATCCCACAAAACATAATTTGTATCGATGAAGACTTTGAACTGGGTAGGGGCCTTTATCTAATGGAAATCAAATCTCTGCATAACATGGATGAATCTCATCATTATGCTTTGTATAGTTAAAGTCACATCCTTGACATTGTTTCTCTTGACGTCATTCCTGCAGGATGAAGAACGCTTTTCAACACTTTTCAGAGATTTTGAAAGAGTTGCTTCGACAACAACTCCATCGAAGTTTTCTGATTCTTCTGTGAGTGGTGGGCGGGTGCTCTGGCGTGGTTAACTCCTTCTTCCCCTAGCAAATGTCTATCGTCCTGATCTCTCCTCCTTGTTTTTTTGTGTTTGTTTCTCTCTTGCTATCTTCTGCACTAATATGACCTTCTTGTGTTGGCCTTATCTCTCCTCCTTCTTATCTTTGAGTGTCTCATGATCCCTGGTTACATCTCTAGTGTTCTGCATTTATATAACAACATATTTGTCTTGCAATGAAGTTGCAACTGCCATATATCCTTCATCTTATCATGAAACAATTGCACAAGACGTTTGCTAACAGAGCATTCTGAGCCAAAGTCTATTATCTGGACTTCAACTTCAATGCTCAATATTGTGTGCAGTCATGCATTGATACCCCCGCCAATTTCTGCCACAATGTTGGCAAGGAAGTATTTTCTTCAAAGTGACATATATATATATATATATGAAACTGGCAAAGATTCCTCACAGTGCATGTCATTCAGCCTCTTCATGTGTATAGAAATTTGCCATGAAATTGGCAACATGACACGCAATTGGCTGGCTCCCTGCTACGGAACTGGCCCCTAGCCACGCAAATGAGTCCTTCACAATAAAAATCAAGGGCGGCTCGTGGGTCTAAAAAGTGGGCATGCACAATTAAGCTAAAGCAGGTTAAAGACAGTCAAGGGCATAGTAAATGGAATGGTGTATAATTTTAATATCTTTGTGTAGGTGAGGACCTAATGCTTTTACTTTCATTCTTTTTGTTTGTCCTTTTTATTCCAAAAACTACATAATATGTTTGATAGAAATCAATTCCATTCATCTTGCATTGGAATTGAACACTCAAGTAATAACACTTTCACCATTCCACTAAACACCATTCAAAGTCACAACTTAACATACAGTGACCTTTTTAACTCTACGTTCACCTCACTTAAGTTCACGGTCACAGCGGTAGCTAATAAACACTATTCGATGGCACAACTTAACATACAGTGACCTTTTTAACTCTACGTTCCCCTAACTTAAGTTCACCGTCACAGCGGTAGTAGAGCCAGCTAAATCTTTGGTCACAGAGTCAGGGCAAGACCTAAATTTTAAAATAGTAGCAAGACAATGAACCAATCACAATTCACTTATGAGCACTCGCTGGATTGCTCTGGGGCTCACATTTTATGGGTATATACAGCGTACAGTCTGAGATTACATTTATTTTTAGACCGCTTACTGTGGGCTTTGTTTTGACAAGAGAACATTTGAGATGTGCTGTCTTAATATACATGTACCTCCAAACTCGCTATGAGTGTCGTCATCGTTTGGGTTAATCCAACGAGACATTTACAGGTCAGACTACCATTGCTAAACAACATATGTTAAGTTAAAGCGCACGGACTTTGGCATGGCATAGTAGATGTTTTATGGCGCAAAAGGCTATAAAGATACAGTTGAATACCAGTCATTTCGTCACACCGGTGCAGTAAAGACATCAAGTCATCTCATCACACGGTCATTTTGTCACGCCCCAAATCCACAAGGATTTAATCACACACTTGCAAACATCAAACGCCCATTGTCATTGCGGGTGCATGTAAGGATAAGGGAGGGGGGCTAGTAGCCCAGCGTTTCCCTTGAAGTAACCCGCCCCAAATTTTCGAGAGATGAGGGAAGTTGAATTTCGTCACACATAATTGGGGTGTGATGAGATGACTATGGGACGAAATGACCGGTTACCATACAGTTATATATGGCTATTAAGGCGCAAGCGAGGACCTTGTATTTGTATTGATAAAAGATTTGGCACTTGATCGTTTCGAGCTTCTTTTATTTTCTGTTTGTGGGTGCTTTACAGAATAGAACATTTAGAAAGTTTGGGCGGCACTACATGACCGTGCTCTATGGACACATATGCGATTAAACGTACAACGACACATCTTCCTGATTGGCTGCTAATTTTAGTAATGTGATGTCATCACTTCCTGGGATATCCACAGACTGTTTTAAGAAGGCCGTGGAGGTACCGCATGGAATGACGTGTTTTCGGTATATGTTAATGACATTTCGGAATTCCTAGTACTTGGACATGATGGAAGATCGCTTAGATCACTGATGCTCAAAAGAGTAAGAACGCTGATGTTTAAAATTGAAACACGGTAAACGCAAAGACAATAAACCGCACGAAAACTGCTGTAAAGACGCCGGAGGATTATCCCCCTCCATGCTTCATCATTACATATAAATAAAAAAACTACAAAGCAACAAGTTATAATTTACGGGACAAACTGTTTGTCAGTCGGGAGGAAGAGAAAGAGGGAAAAAAACTAAAAAACTTGCGGTACCGGGATTCGATCCCAAACTCATAAAATGATTGTATGACTTCAAACGCAGACACACTGTCCATTCGCCCATCAGAACTTCCAACAGCGAAAGGTAGATTAAGATTGAGATTTAGACACTCCCATCTTTGGTGCCAAGCGGTTGGCTATATTTAGATGTAGTCATGTGTTTGGAGTGGTATCCAGAGAGTATTTAATTTTATGGTCTCTGGGGTATCCCGGTCTGACGTCAAACAAGATGGCCACCTCACCTAAAAATAGTTGGCGTCGTTCTACGTTTAATCGCATGTTCTATGGACGAATCATCCCTGATAACAATAAAGTAATTTATTAGCCTGTCCTAAGTAGCCTAATAAAAAGCAAATTCGGTGCTTTTTCGGTAGTTCCCTACCCCCTTTTAAATTGAGCCTGACCTACATTCTACATCTAGATCTATACGTTCGAAGTGGCTAGACTGAGAGTCTAGCCGTTATGGCTAGACTGCCAGTCTAGCCGTACTTATACCTAGGTTTGGCCCTATCGACTCAAGCTTGTTAAGTACACAGGTCTCATTAGATCTAGATCTAGTAATTATTCAGGTTCAAATACATGCAAGTCAGTAAGGCACCTTTTGTTTTTTTCTGAAATACAAATACTTTAGGCATTGCAAACTAAAAATTTCATTTACAATTCAGCCATCAATATTAAGTACGGCTAGCCTGGCTGTCTACCCGTACTTAAGTACGGCTAGCCAAGAAGTCTAGCCGTACTTAAGTACGGCTAGACTGCCAGTCTAGCCGTACTTATCTTAGGCCCTATTAACATTAGAAAACAGGAGGTTTAAAATACATGCACTGTCATAATATTAAGGCACCTGGTTTCGTCTCAAATACAAATACTTTAGGTACTGCACACTAAAAATTTATATTTACAATTCAGTAGGCCTATTTTTTTTAAATGGTCAGTCTAGCCATCATATTAAGAATAAGTACGGCTAGACTGCCAGTCTAGCCGTCATTAAGTACAGGTAGCCTCTTCCCTACGTTTGATGCACAGCAAGCTAAGATATCAAACCTAACAACTGCAAAACATTAAATTGTGGTAACCTCCCACCATATTTTTATTAGGGCTGGGGGGCAAGCCCCCCTGAAACCCCCCTACTCTCGGGGCCAAAACCGGTGAATATGCAATTGCGGGGTGGAATCTAGATTCTACCGAAAAAGCGCCGCAAATTCTTTTCATACGACAACTTTACATAGATCTACACAAAAATGAAATTTGGTCTCGAATATTACCTGGAAGGAAACTTGCACATCTCTCAAAGCAGAGAAAATCACAGAATGATACATGGTCATGATCATTGACTTGATCGACAAGCAGACCTATCCGACTTATTAAATCGCGAAGACGCACACTCAAAGCTGTGGTGTGACATTCACTTGCCAGTGCACGGCACAATTCTTTTTCGGCCATAATTCTCGCTGATAATACATGCAGTCTTCAAAACAGCAACAGATTAGTTAGAGCTCCTAGAAGGTCTACGGTCCAAAAGCATGATGACAGAGCTGGAAACACTGTCTTGATGAGGGCTGGGAAAACGAAAGTTCGAGTCAGGAGGCGGCCATATTGTATCAAATGAAAACAGTAACTCAGTAACTCGTTTGTTAATCCAATCGCATTTGTACTAGATTCTTGTTCTATGTTTTACATTTATTATAATTACCTATTAATCGCATAATACAAATGTATCATAACCATAATGATAATGATGATGATAATAATAATAATGATGACGATAATGATAGTAATAATAATAATGATAATAATAATGATAATAATAGTAATAATAATAATGATAACGATAATGATAACAATAATGATAATAAGAATGATAATAATGATAATAGTTATACATGGCATGTTATATAGCGCTTTTCCATAGTTTACAATGCTCAGTGCGCATTACAAAATATTAAATAACCTATAGCTATGCCTATATATTATATTCTGTGTTGGCTTAAAAATACGTGAAGCATTTACGCACAAAGCATAATATAAAATAACACAAATAATAATGCATATCAATGTAAAGGTAGGCCTACATGAATACAGCATTCGATCTCTCTCTCTCTCTCTCTCTCTCTCTCTCTCTCTCTCTCTCTCTCTCTCTTTCTCTCTTTCTCTCTCTCTCTCTAAAAAACAAACAAAATGTAACTGTAGAAGTTATACACCCCACTAGCTGTCATTACTTAGATCATTTAGGAGGCGGGACTCGGGTTGAGAAGGATCCGTCATCCCAGCAGAAAGACCGAGATGCTAGATATAATTTTTTCCCCACTCGAGAATCGAACTCAGGTTTCTTGCTAGCGACAGTGAAGTGCCATATATTACTGCTATTCAGCAGACGCCGGTTCTCTCTCTCTCTCTCTCTCTCTCTCTCTCTCTCTCTCTCTCTCTCTCTCTCTCTCTCTCTCTCTCTCTCTCTCTCTCTCTCTCTCACACACACACACACACACACACACACACACGCACACACACACACGCACACACACACACACACACACACACATGCTCTCTCTCTCTCCCTCTCTCTCTCTCTCTCTCTCTCTCTCTCTCTTTCTCTCTCCCCTCCCCCCCCCTCTCTCTCTCTCCTAACTTCAGTCGTGTATTGCTCGGCCTTTTGCCACTGCATGCAAAAGTAAAAGACTTGAGCCAGAATCCCGAATTTTGCTACACCTGGACATATCTAACCCATGTTTTCTTCTACAATCAAAATCGACAGTTATTGAGTGTTTTTCGACGTGTTCCATAAAACAATTATGTAGGATTGCCAATTCTGCTTTTCTTGCATAACCCAATGACCCCCGACAACATTATTCTCTTTGGTGTAGCTGTTGCCAAACCTTTCAACATAACACTAGCCCCATGAAGATCTTCAAACCACAGCGAAGAAAAGGAGTGAGAATGGTAATGTCACTGCACAATACAAGACTGGTCCTAAAAAGACCATTCTGCAAAGAGCAGTGTCGGGGAAAAGAATGGGGAGCAGAAAAATAATTGATGAGAAGACAGCATTAGCCTATTATACTGAGTGGATAGGGAGTCTTCAGCATTCTATAGTCTGATTCAAAGGTAATCAGTGTGGCTCTTCAAAGACTCAACTCGTGGGTGCAGGTTACAAGAAGTTTTTCCCCTTCACAAAAGCACCATTAACAATGGAGTCTTTTTTGTTTTTTTTTTTGTAAAGTGTTTTACGGCGCTCGCAACTGCATAAGGTCATATGAACGCATGGGACACACCTAATATTTTCAGTTGGTAGGAAATTTTGAATTTTGCCCGGGTGGCGGCCGAAGCCTACTCTAATCGGTTTTAGACCACCAAGGGATCTTTAACGTGCGCAACTTGAACACGGGCCCTCCGAGATTTTTCGCCCTTTTCCGAAAAGGCTAGGTGTAGATCTTTCCTACCAGAAGACCAGGGGTTTGGCAGAAAGACAGCAGTAAGGAGGAGCCAAGGAGTAGTAGTAGAAAGGCTACAGAAACAATGAAGTCTAATTGCAAAACATGCCAGGTCGAGTTTAGAAGAAAAAGAGTCATCGTCTGCGGCCTCTTTCGGACACCTGCATTTGTTTCACTCATAGCCACTTTCAACACCTACTAAACCAGGCAATTCAAGAAGAAAGCAAAACTGTCTAAATCTCTGCAGTCTAAGAGGAAAACTATCGATTTCCATTTTATGTAGTCGCGGCCAATGAGTAGGCCTAAGCGAGATATTTTGTTTGTTTTTCATATTATTATTATTATACATGTAAGAACTTATACAGTCGAGCTTCCCTTGACTCAATCAATATATCTTTTGCGTGGCCTACCTCTACTTTTATAGCTTGAGTAATTCGTGTGCAGGCTTTCGAGGCTGGCTGGCTAGCTGACATTCGTAACAGGTGGCCAAACCATTTAATTTTTAATCTCTGTTTTTCCTATGAAATGCAGGCAGGACACTGTGTCAACAGTAATGCTCTTACTTCTTATTTTCTTTGTCTGCCTCTTGTTGTGATGTTAATTGCCAGAGACATTTACTCGCAGGCAGTATTTTGCTTTTATTAGCATAATTTTGGTAGAATATAAATATTGAAGCGATAAGTTGTCTCTTAAAAAAACCTCTTTGATTCAACAAAACTGAGAAAACCAGACGTGGCTACAGAATTTAGAATAAAAGTTTCGAACAAATATGAATGTGTACAATCAGTTTATGAATATATTGATGATACATGATCTGAGGAGAGCCATAAAAAAGCATATGTCACCACCCCGGAAGAAGTTCTTGATGGATCAAAACCATCTGAAGAGTGGATTCCTGGATTCAAGAAGAAACATGGGAAGCTATAAGAGAAAGAAAAGAAGCAAAGCTAAAGATGCAATAAATTGGAAGCACACGAAAAATACAGAGAAAAAGACCCCCCAAAAAGTCACAAAAAGGCGGGAAAAAAACAAGCGTGAATACTTGGACAAACAAGCTGCTATAGCTCAAGAAGCAACAAACAGAAACGACATGCAAGAATTATACCAGATTACAAATAGACTAGCTGGAGACTTGGGAAAATCATCAGAGGGACCAGTAGAAAAGAAATATGGCACCATGGCAACTTTAGAAGACGAAAAAGATCGATGGGCAGAACAATTTGAAGAGATTTTAAATAGACCACCCCCACCAAATGAATTCAACTTTGGCAAAGTACAACCAATGGAGGAATAGAACATAAGTACGGACAAAATAACCATGCTGGAAATTTTAACAACTGTCATGAAAATGAAAAGTAACAAAAGTCCAGGAGAAGATAGAATTACCTCTGGGATGCTTAAAACGATCGGAAGAGAAGGTTATGGGACATTACTTTTGCTGTTTAAAGAAATTCTTGAAAAACAAAACACGCCCATGGAATGGAGAAAGGGAACTATGATTAAATTGCCTAAAATGGGGAACAAACAATTTAGCAATGAATGGGTTAATTTCGACGAGTTTAGTTGCTTTTTTTCTGACAATGCAGTAATGATGCTTTGTCGCTGTGTAAGTCAAAAAGTTAAAAATGATTTTTCCCCTTATTAAAAGATAAGAACAAGACCTTTCAATGATACAGCTGTATCATTATTTCTTCTTCTTTCTTTCTTTCTTTCTTTCTTCTTCTTCTTCTTCTTCTTCTTCTTCTTCTTCTTCTTCTTCTTCTTCTTAAATGGATAACAGTGGTCATGGTTCGCGACTTAGTTATCCGATGGGATGCTCACAAAAACATAAAGAAATAAATACATTTCAAACATTGATTTTATTCGGGGTTTTGCCCCACCATATCTCAGCCGTACAAGTGCCCCTAGTAATTATTTTATGTCTTCCCAAGCGTCTTTGGAACGTTACCGTCCAGCGATACTAAGATATTTAAGGCCTTTATGTCGATTCAAAAGAACGATTGGCGTTGCAGAGCAGTTTGTTTCTCCGTGAAAGTCATGTAAAGGGCAAGGCATGCCATAGTTTGGACAACGCCATTCTCCTTAATTTTAACACTGAGTGATTCCACAGCTCTCGTGTTTCGGCGAAGTGCCAACCTATGTTATTGTTTATAACGTTAATTATTTACAACTTTCGTCAGTGAGGAGTCAGTATAGAGGCAGACAGGTAATTTGTATATGTGGTGTTGGACAGAACGAGACAAGTGCGCAAAGCGTGTCTTGAAAATGTGATTGACATCTACAGTTGAAAGATTTTTGTGCACGATAGGTGACTGCACATAACAGCCTGGATGAGAGAGTATAGTGGACATTAGTGCTGTGCAATTTTGAGGAAAAGAAACCCCATCGACACTTGGAAGCGTAAGGTCACTATTTGTGTAGTCGAATTAAAAATCTATCAGCAACATTTTTTGTTCAATGTGCACAACGCTCTTAACTGTGCGGTTGATAAGATGGCGCCACGTCACCATTCATAACGCTTTGAAGGTCGAACAAGGGGATCTCTTTGCGTTAACCTTCCGTCATTTTCTTGTAGAGCCTTCCACTTCGCCCAATAGTAAACTATTGGACCTTAGGCTATCTATGGTAATACGACAATTTTTTTGTAAGTGTTTTACGACGCCCACAACTGCATAAGGTCATATGAACGCACGGACACATTAAACATTTTCAGTTGGTAGGTGCCCAAGTGGTGGCCGAAGCCTACTCTTTTCGATTTTGGACAACCATGAGATCTTTAACGTGCGCAACTTGCTCACGGGACCTCCGAGATTTTGAGCTCTCGTCCGAGAAGGCTAGGTGTAGATATTTCCTACCAGAAGATCAGGGGTGTGGCTGATAAACAGCAGTAAGAAGGAGTAGCAGTAGAAAGGCTGCAGAAAGAGTCAGGAGCCCAGAGGAGGGGGCAAAGGAGGTGAGGGGCTAGGGGTAGAAACTGGAGACGAAAACAGACGACAGAACGTTGCTAGTGAGCAGGAAAGGAGGCAATTTTAGAGAAGAAATATTCCGTCGCTCTCCGAATTCGAACCTAGGGCCTATTGAATGAGAGGCGAACACCTTAACCTCTAGGCCACGAGAGCCCCCGGCGACAAGTAAACATTAACTTGTAGTGAATACTTCTTAGAGGAACGTATAATAA